GGGCTACTTCAGTTACCCCCTATTTTTATTTTCTAGGGATCCAGAGGCATTCTTTTAGTTAATAATGCTGCTAGGATCTGGTACTTGGTTTTGTAGCATGTCAGCATCACATTTAACTTTCTAAAATAACTTGGAGGAAAATAAAATTAGGTGGAATAAGGAATTTGCTGGGTATCTGTTGCACTTTGTCCTATCACCAAATTGTTTACCTCCAATGAGTAGCAAGAATATTTCTACTTTCTATGGTGAAAGTATTCAATAAATTATATAAGCCAAAAAGAGTTTTCTCTTCCATCCAGATGTTGATCTCTTGTTCTGCTTTTCTAAGCACTTCCATGAAGCTTATGATCTCCTGTTGAATCTATGATACTCCTCCATCCCCAGTCTGAATACAAAGGCTGCATCTTCTGCCTCGCTACTTCCTATTTTGTCTAAACCCATTTCTCCCAAATATTTGGGCTTAATTCCTTGGTCTTCACTGCAGTCGAATGTAAAATCCCCAATGTACATACAGTTATTGGACATTTTCTAGAAGTCAAGACATATGCTGCAGATTAGGACTTGCTGGAGCAGCCATGGAGATTTTGGAAATTGTTCAAATGTCACGGTATGTCTATATCAACAAAGATCAGAATCATGCAAATCATGTTATTTCCCGTGACACTCTATAGAAGCAAAAGGTGGACTTTGAAGAAGCAGGACAGGAAAACTATTGATATTGTTGGACTCTGGTGAACTCTGGAGAAGACTTCTGGGAAGACCATAGACAGCCAAGAAAAGAAACTAATGGATCATCAAATAAATCAACCCAGAGTTCTCATTTCAGGCACAAATGACCAGGCTCAAATTATTCTACTTCAAGACATACCATGCAAAGAATCAGCTGTCTGGAAAAGCTATAATGTTGGGAAAGATAGAAGGAAAGAGAAGAAGAGAATGACTTGCATTAAGGTGGATGGACTCAGTTACAGTTCCATTGGAAATCAGGCTAGGGACATATTGCTATGGAGAAAATTTGTCTATGTGGTCACTAGGAGTAAAAAATGATTGATGGTTTTAATGCTATTACAGTAATATGATCTATTATAAAATAAGGAACATTACTATATTTATTTTATGCAAATACCTTCCTCTGGAAAAATACAATCTACCGTTCTTTGGACTGGCCTGTATAGCGTTCTTCCATTGGGGATTATTGATACAGGGCCTTCCCTATTTCCACTAACCAAGCATAAAGGTGCCCTGGCAAACACCTTATTCTGTCAAGCCACCAGATAGCACTTTAATTTTATCCCAAGCCCTGTTCAAGAGAAGCTTAAGTCATCCTTATGTTCTGACCCAGCCTTAGCAGAAACAAGAAACAGACTCCTTGTCACAAAAAACCCCACTTTATTTACCTCTTGTGAATTAATGGCATTCACCCACTGAAAAGTCAAAGCAAGAGTCCTGCAAGGAATTAAATGCAGCAAGAGACGTTATCAGTTCCTCGTGATAATTGCAAGGCCGTGAGCTCCCGGCTGAAAGGCTGCAAATTAAGTTCTAGCAAGCAGTCTTTGATGCACAAAACACAATGAACAAAATCTTCAGAAATACAAACTATTGTCTCCTAAGGGAACCACCCCCCTTTCTTTCTATTTATTCCCCAGTCAGGGAGGGACCCTTCAGCATCAAAGGCCATTGTGCTTTGCTTCCCGAGTCAACTCCTTGTCCTCCATTGTTCACCTCTCCTAACTGCTCTGCGCATAGGTTCATCTGGAACAGGCCCCTCACTCATCTCAGCCTCCAAAGGTAGTTGTCTCTCTGGTGGCTGGAAAATGTCGGACAGCCCTGGCTCCATCTGTGTCCGACACAGAGCATCCATCAGAGCTTTCCCCAGACTCCAGAACTGGCCCAACCTCCTCATCATCTGAATCTGTCACCACTTCCGCTGGCAGTTGGTGGGCCACACACCTTAGCTATTCTGGTTCTAAAGTAGCGTTGCCCTTTTTCATTTAAAGCCAGCAGTTTTGAAACAGTACAGAAACTGTTGTCAAAAGAAACCCACTGGACAGCTGATCTGGCAGCAAGTTAGAACTGAGGCAATTCTAAGATGTGTGGACTTCAAATCCCAGAATTCCCCAGCATACTAGCTGGAGAACTCTGGAAGTTGAAGTCCACATACAGTATCATAAAGTTGTCAAAACATTATGTTTAAAACCACTGCTATAAAGGCAGGGACAGCAAATGTTGCATTTTTTTGTTTTATTTTTATGTCAACTCAAAGGAAAGTAAATAGCCCTTCAATTCATCATCCAACTACCTTTTTTGGGGGGGTGAGGGTGGAGGAGGAAGGAATGGAAGCAGCAGGCAACATATGGCTTCAGTTGAGACTGAAATAAGTACTACGCAAAAAATCTTTTTTTTTTTTTACTGCAAGAGGGGCTTAGTGAACTCCTGTACCTTCAGGCACCTCCCTGATCTCTTAACACACTAATGCTGTCCAGTACATATCAGCTGGGTGTTGCAATTCCTTCTTAGTACGCCTCCTGGGAGATCCCATGCTTTGCACCTTCTAGCTCTTTCCTGGTTTTCTAGCATAGTTTAGTTGCTGCCGTAGGCACATTCCTAAAGATTTCAGCATTCAAGAGGCACTGAACCAGGAATGAAATCTACTTACCTTCCCAACTGGTTCGGAAGTGCGCGTGGGGACCATCTGCGCATGCGGAAACCCTTCTGCGCATGCACAAACCCTTCTGTGCATGTGCAAACCCTTCTGCACATGTGCAGAGGATAAAAAACAGGTTGCTTCCTGGTTAAAACCAGGAAGTAACGATGACTGGGCAGGTGGGCGGAGCCTCGCACAGCCATCGCTATCGGTTCTCCAAACCACCGGCCACCATTGCTACCGGTTTGGCTGAACGGGTCCAAACCGGAAGCATTTCACCTCTGCACTGAACACTCACAGCACAATACTAGCTTGTATGTTATCAATGGCAGGTTACACTGTTAGCAAAAAGAAGTGCAAGAAAATCAAGAGAGGAGCTGTAGCACCATTCCCGCATTAGAATTCACTCAAAAATCAGTGAACCATCTTTTGCATTTCACAGAGCTATCCCTCAATGTTAATCATAGACAAGAGAGAATAGAGAGTATAACACCAGCATTTTAAATCTCCAAATGGTGATTAATGATCAGGCACTGTTCCAGGTTGGGAAAGGATAATATAACCCCTGAGTAGCTTGACATCACCCCCAGCATCAGAGGCCATAGGCTTCCAAATACCAGTTGCACAAGTCAGAGGATTTTACTGTCCTAAAATTGATACTTTGGTATGATCTGAACTGTCTGGAACATGGCTAAGACATTATCAATAGTTATTATAGATGAGAGATATGAAATATTTCCCAGCTGAGTTATGTTTATCCCCTAAGTGGTATACTAAGGGATAGACTCCAAAAATGTAAGCAAGTCCCTGCCAAGATGCAATTGACTTTTGTTTAATTTCATTAAAATTAAACATTTGTTTGTCTCATTGATACAAGACCTTTTATGTTAGAGGTCTTTAAACTTGGCAGCTTTAAGACTTGTGGACTTCAACTCTTAGAATTCTCCAGCCAGCATATCTGGCTGTCCACAGCATATCTGGCTGGAGAATTCTGGAAGTTGAAGTCCACAAGTCTTAAAGCTGCCAAGTTTGAAGACCTCTGTTTTAGGTGCTGAGTTAACAAACCTGGATGTTCCACTGAAACACCAATGTGTGAACTGAAACTTTTTTTACGGGCCATTTCTGCCCAGACAGATTATTTCAAGACATTCTCCAGATCGTTCATAAAAACATCACTGTTGCAATTTGAAAAACAAAACATTGAGCTGGTTCAGACAGTTAAATGAGTCATTTATACGTAATTCAGATTGCTTCCTTGCTACCTTTGAACCATCTAATACAATTTTCTCTGTCTTCAACAGAAACCACAGCACACTCATGCACCAAAGCTTGATTACAATTTTCCCAGTTTTCAACAGAATCCACAATACGCTCACACAACATAGCTGTATTATGCCTTTGCTTCTAAATAGAGCACATACAACTTTAGCAGAAAGAATGTAGTTGCTTAGCGACAATTGCACCTAGCGACCAAAGAACTTGGAGACTAATGAAGGACCTGTGCTCTCCCCCACCCTCATCAACATGAGTTTTTATGGTACAAATGCCTCCCTACTCCAGCTCCATACACTTCCTTTCTAGCTTGCTTGCTTTCTCTTGGCTCATAAACGTTACCGGGAAATCCGCCCATACCTGCTCCTGGGGTGGGGAGGGTAGGGGGGAAATTTTCAGTCACATCCAGTCCAATTTGTGGGGGAGGCTTTGCAGCAGCACTCCGCTTACTTTCAATGCCACTTTTTGTTGGGAGATTGCTGCTCTTAAACAACTCAGAAAAGGGAGGCATGAAGGAAACAGTATGAATTTCTATTTTGGAGCAGGTTTAAGATGCTGGGGAACCAGCAGATTAGCAAAGAGAAGCTGTCCATACCAAATCAGATCACTGGCCCAAGTATTGGCTACCTTGATGGGCAATTTCCTATTATCCACAATTGTCAAACTCACGTTGTCATCTGACATATTGCAACTTTTTCCCCCTTCACTAAACTGGGCATGGGCGTGGGTAGCATGTGACTTATCCGGACCGTGAGTTTGACAGCACAATTATGCTCTAGCACAATTGTTTTAAACCAGGAATGACACTTGTGGAAAAGCTGAAAATCAGAGTGGAAGCTCAAGAGTAGGTAGTTGTGTCCTACCTGCCCTTTCCTCATTTCAAATATTCTTTCTCTTCTTACAATATCCTCCAATCCTCTCACTACCACGGAATTTAAATGCATGTTTAGGGATTGGCCATGGTTCTACAGCTTGTACAAAATGAATCCAAAGACTTGGTAAGCAATACAAGATCCACTTCAAATGGTCATGTGAACATTCTCTTGTTCAGCTCCCATTTATTTTTTTTCTCTTTGCAGATGAATGCCAAATAGATCAGACTTCTCACTTGCACATATTTTTTCCTCCTGACTCAATTTCATATCACATAAATTAAAAATACCTTGACTGAACAGCCAACCTTCACTTTCCAACCATGTGAGCAGAGGGAGAATTTGCATCTTCAATCACTGAAAATGTTGCAAAACCGTAAGTAAATTACATACAATCTTAGACATGACTGAAAATGTTTACGAATACTTCTTAGATTCCCAGGTTATTCTTTTGGTTCTCCTTCATTCCCTCCTTGTTTCTAGGTAGCATGCAATTGCAAACCCATTAATTTATTTTAAAAAAAAACACACACATACAGCTTCTTAATGGCGAGCAGTGAGTCACTGCCACCTCCCTCTCTATAATTCCTCTCTAACCCCTGATGATACTTTGTGCTGTATCTGAGAAGAAACGTTGGGGGGGGGGGGAGAAACAGCTTCCAACTTTGGCACCAGGAGTTTCTTTCAGAGCTTCTTATGCAATGTGTTATGAATCCAGGTGTGGGAGGGAAGTAGAACGAGGAATTTAAGAGCTTGTGTGCGGGTGTGTGTCTGTGCATGCGAAGGAAAGAATGCTGTTTAGATTAATTTAGCCAGCTGGATTTGAAAGCCTACTGTTCTTCTTGATGCTCAGAACAGACAGTTTAAAAGGAAAAAAAATAATTAGAGCGGCTGAACACGATAGACAAAAAAAAAAAAAAGGATCAGCAACTTTGCCTATTCTAAAACACTCTCAATTATTGCATTACTGAAGCAACATTTATTTCAGAGCTTCCTCCCAATTTCATGTTTTCAACAGATCAATTCTTCCGTTGTTTTTAAAATCTAATGATGTCTCTGAAGATGAATCTTGTATAAAATGCCATGCAAACTATTATTAGGGAGCATTGTGTAAGTATGGTATGCTAATTTTTTTTTTTTTTAAAAGCAAGATTTAAAAGAATGAATTCTGTAAAAGATTTTTTTAAACAAATGGAGAATTAGTACAAAGCGGCCAGGAATTATGCTCCTCTAAATGGAATAATGAAGACATTAATTCAAATCGCATTCATTTGAAATTATGAGTTTGTAAACCTCTTCAAAATTATTAATATCATGTATACATATAAAATTATTTTTAACTTATATATAGATATATAAAATATGTATATATGTATGTATGTATATATAATATACATGCATAAACACACACATACACACACACACACACACACACACACACACACACACACAAATGTTTCAAATGGGAAGATAAAAAACTAATACAAAGAAATACAGAAAAGTGGCTTCCAATCATCTTCACAGCAGTGGTGGGTTCCTCCTGTTTCGGCCCGTTTCGGCCGAGCCGGTAGCGGTGACGATATGATGTCACCGAACCGGTTCTGCTCCCCCCACCCCCCTACCCTCCGCCCCCCTGCGTTATTCTTACCTTTTATTTGGCCCCACCCCCAATCTATTGCTGCCTCTTGAGTCCCAGCTGATGGCTAAAGGGAAAAAACCTGTTTAAACTCTTGCCGCGGGGCTTCAAAGGGCTGCCCTACAGCTGATCAGTGTTAAAAGAAAACAAATGGGTAGACCAGTGCCTGCAAAAATACATGAGTAGATCAGTGCCTGCAAAAATAAATGGGTAGACCATTGCCTGCAAAAATAAATGAGTAGATCGGTACAGCTCTGCAAGCAGTTAAAAGCCGGGTAGACCAGTACCTCTGCTAAATCCTAAATAATTGTCACATGACCATCAAGCCACGCCCACAAAATAAGCCACATCCACAGAACTGGTAGTAAAAAAATTTACTTTCAATTCTGTTATTCTATTCTATTCTAACCAGGAACATTTGTTGAGTTCAAAGCAATAAGTGTTTATTATTGCTACTTGTACACAAAAATCCAGTCAATTAATGGTCAAAGCTAAATTGGCACTAGATACGAGTCAAGAGAATTCACAGGGGACTGGACTTGGGTCTCTTGTGACAATGCAATGACTCCAAACTGATGAGATGTTTAACTCTGCCTTCCAGCCCAACCTGCTCTTCTCTCTATCTACATCTAGAAAAGTAAATATTGATTTATTATTGAAGTTCTTTTACCACTACAATTATTTATTTATGATATATACTCTTCTTAGATGACCACACAACTGTCCAGCATTGTGATAAAAAAATACGATCAGCCTAAAATTTAATGTTAATTCTGGTTACATCAAATGGCACTACATTTTTCTCAAAGGATGACAAATTAAGTCACTGGGTTGTTTAATATATCTAAAAACTTACCAAATTAACAGATGGAGACAAAAATTCCCTTAATCAAATTGTAACAGAAAATGAAATGATGTAATGTAATAATTTTTACACTTAAATATTTTAAACATTGTAAAAAAGAATATAAAATCTATGTTTTAGATCCGTGATGGCATGCATGCTGGAAGTGGCACCCAGAGCCATTTTTCTGGGCACGCGAGCTGTCGCTCAACTCACGTGGTGCTGCCCATGTGCACGCGCCCCAGCTGATGTTAGGGCCTCCGGTATGCATGCGTGCAATTCAGGGGACCCAGCTGGTCTTCGGAGCTCTCCTGCGCATGCACAAATGCATGCACCATTTGCACATGCATGTGGGTTTTGTGCGCGCAATGCATGTGCATGAACGCCATTTGCACATGCGCACACTGTGCACCAGTATTCTTGTACTGGTGCATTGTGTGTGCATGAGCAGATGGTGTTCACGCACATGCATTGCACGTGCAAAAACCACACGCATGCGCAGATGGTGCAATTGTACGCACAGCATACAGTGGGAGTATGCACGAAAGCTGTGCACATGTGCAGATGGTGTGCAGAGCATAGGGGAGGAGCTGTGCGTTAGCATGGATGGCACACACATGTGCAAAGCACGCAAAGCACGGACCTGTTTGGCACTCGATGAGTAAGAGGTTCGCCACCACTGCTTTAGATATTCAGAAATGGGCACAAAAATGCCTGAAAACCAGGGGTGAAATCTAAAATTTGTTACTACCAGTTCTGTGGGCATGGCTTGGTGGGGGAGGTGTAATGTGGGCATAGCCAACTTTTTTTTACTTTTAAAACCATTTTTTCTACAACCTCTTTGGCTAAGAGGTTATAAAAAATGCTTTCAAAAGGCTCTGACGATCCCAGCTGAGTTCCCTGATTGGCAGGGGCTTTTAAAAAGCTGGGATCGTCAGAGCATTTAAAAGAAAAAAAGGGTTTTTTTCTTTTAAATGCTTTGCCGATCTGCCGATCAACTCAGCTGGGATCGTCAGAGCATTTAAAAGAAAAAAAACCCTTTTTTTCTTTTAAATGCCTTTGACGAGCCACGCGATCATCAGAGGTTTTTTTTTTTACTTTTAAAAGCATTTTTTCTGCCGAAGTTGTAGAAAAAATGCTTTTAAAAGTTAAAAAAAAAGGCTCTAATGATTGTGCGGCTCAGCTGGGCATGGGGGGGAGCGGGGATTTTTGCTACCGGTTCTCTGAACCACCCGCCTCCATCGCTACTGGATTGGGTGATCCGGTCTGAACCGAGATCATTTCACCCCTGCTGAAAACATTATTCTAGTTTCTCCTAAATCCTACTGGACCTTGTATCAGATGAATTGTTATTTAGAGAAATTATTACAAAGGATTGGCACCTTAAACACAATTAAAGAAAGACGATTATTACTTTTTCTTGTGAAAACTAAAACCAGAATTCATGGTAACACATTTGTGCTTGGCGAACAACCGCAACAAAAATGACTGCTTTCCCTAAAATTTTATTTATGTTTAAATAATTCTAACTCCCTTGTTTATTACTTGGTTTCCTACATAATTATATATAATTATTAAAAAACCTTAGATCAGGCATGCAAACAAAAGTATGATGGAAATTTATACCTGAAATAAACATTGAAATATACAAATATGCATTGATGCTTTTTCATTTAAAACAAACAAGTAATCCAGCAACTAAAACCCAACTGTATTCAATTTTCGTCATCACAATATAAAAAAGATGTTGAGACTCTGGAAAGAGTGCTGAGAAGAGCAACAAAAATGATTAGGGGACTGGGGGCTAAAACATACAAAGAATGATTATAGGAATTGGCTATGTCTAAGCTAATGAAATGAAGTACTAGGGACAAATGGTAGAAGTGATCTAATATTGGAGAGGCTCCTACAAAGACAAGGGATTAACTATTTCCAAAGCACCAAAAGGCAAGACAGGAAACAATGGATGGAAACTAACTAAAGAGAGAAGCAACCTAGAACTAAGAAGAAAATTCCTAATGATTAGAACAATCAATGAATGGAATAGCTTGCCTTCAAAAGTTGTGGATGCTCCATCACTGGAGCCTTTCAAACAGAAACTGGATGACTATTTGTCTGAATGGTTGAGCAGAAAATTGGACTAGAAGATCTCCAAGGTCCCTGCCAACTCTATTATTCTACGTTCTGTTCACCACTCAAAAGATATACATTAGATCATAAGTTGAATTACAGATAGACTGTCAGAATGATAGCTCCAATCATGAATCAGTGTTTTAAAATTATTATTGAAGTTGGGAAATAGGTTCTTCTCCTGAACCATCTGCTAATTTCCTGTTCCTTAATTATCTACATTTTAAACATAAATATGATCCATCCAAGTTATGGGAAAGTATAGTACTCTGCAAAAAAATTGTTTTGTTTTGTTTTTGTCCAGACAGCATTAGCTCCTGATGACAGCCTGGATGAGTCCCTGCAGTGTTCTTTGAAGTTTTCAGAGGTATTTGCCATTGACTCCTTCCTAACGCTGAAAGAAAAGATTTTGTGTTTTAACCACTATGTCAAACTTGCTCTCTGTTCTCTGTATTAACAATACAGCATTTCTGTAGAATAGGGTAGGGTAGGGTAGGGTAGGGTAGGGTAGGGTAGGGTAGGGTAGGGTAGGATAGGGTAGGGTAGACTAGACTAGACTAGACTAGACTAGAATCTTTATTGATTTAATTATTTAACCATATCAAAAGCATAAAACTAATACACAAGTAGATGCAGTGAAAACAATAGAATGTCTTCATAGTAAGTTGTCACCTCTATAGTTAACCCCAATCTGCTATAAATGTACTGTTCCCTTTGAGATGGCCTTTGATATGAAAAGTGTGGCCTTACAAGTGATATGCAGGCTCGTTCCCTGCAAAAAGTTAAGACAGTTTCTTCTGGGCCCCCAGTATTTTTTAGTTTTTAAATAAGAATCTAAATAAGCAGAGTACAGTCAGTAGTCAAAAAAATATGTCCAAAATCATTAATGGTTGGTGCTCCACAAATACGCAGCCTTTCTTTGAATGGAACTCCATGAAATCTCCCATATTTTACTTTAGAGTCTAGTTGTTGGAAGCAAGCTCTTAAAAAAAGCTCTTTTGAAATGCTGAGGCATATAAGTTGTTAAATACTTTTCTAACTGTGAGGGTGATGAATGCATACTGAATGCACTGTCAGAAGACTGGATCTTAAGTTCCAAGTTTCAAATGAGACAAATGTAGTAGAGATTTTTTTTTCTCAAGCTTATCAAAACTTACTAATCAAAAATGTTAAGTGATAAAGATACAAGTCCACTTCACTCTAGATGAAAGTAATTACTTATAAAATACTAAAGGCAGTCTTATAGGTCTTTAAATAGTATCAGAAGAGGACCTGAACTGGATGAGTCAGCTGAGCAAAGTATAAACTTCCTTTTCAATCTATTTTAGCAAGTCATCACAAACCGAGTATAAAAATAATTCATAGATGGTACTTTGAATACTGCATTACATTAACCTTTCTAAATTGTATCAGAGGGTTTATAATGACAGATATATATTGTTATCTCTGACTGCAATAGCCCTTTAATTACTCTCCTTATTTTGATTCTTTTTTTAAAAAGAAAATTTGGAAAAATTACACAATATTAACATTTATTATCCATTACCATGACAGGCCAAAGAGAAGCAGCACAAGGAAGTCACACAATTTCTGAAGTGAGATGCTAAATTTAAAATAGCAAAATATTGGGAAACTGAAGTACATTTTTCTTTGATTGGCAAAATGTGAAGACAACAGGGGAGAGTCTAAAAAAATCTCTAATTATTATTTTATTCCATTTTGGTTTGAAGGTTTTAGTTCTATCAATTAAATAATCCTGATAAATTCTATCTAGCTGTGCATTGTTTATTGATATTGTTGGTTTTCCATTCCAGAAGCCCAAGACTGCATGCATACTCCATTTTTCCCTCATAACCACAGCCCTATCAGACTAAGAGAGAATGACTGGCTCAAATTCTCCACAAAATTTCTTTAAAAAAAATAAATCTTTATTTACATTTTACCATTAAAAACAAAAAGAGAACGACACATTATATAACTAACAAACAAAACATACAAAACAACACAACAAAAACCAACAAAACTAGCATACCTATAAGCAGTACCTTAATAACCTAGTACTCGGTACTCTATATCTATATTATAATCCGGAGAAGACAGAACATCTTACATATCTTTATAACAGAATTAGGTCTATCCGACCTCACTTTACTTGTACAATATAAGTTTCTCAGTACATATAGTTCCTCTTCTAATTTAGGTTATGTTTTCCTTTTCTCTAGCCACCTATAGAATTTTTCCCAAGATAAACATACTTGTGTTTGATCTCTATCTTGTAATTTTTTGGTCAATTTATCTGCTTCCGCACAGTCTAAAATCTTTTTTATAATAGCTTCCTCTGATGGGATACTTTGATTTTTCCAAAGTTGAGCATACGCCAATCTCGCCGCTGTGACAATATGTAATGCAAGATACCATACATCTCTTTTAATACCTTCCGGTTTGGAGCCGAGCAGGCATGTCTCTGGTCGCCATTCAATCGTTTGATTTAGAATCTCATTCAGCCATTTTTTTATTTTCCACCAGAATTCTACTGCTTTCGGGCATGTCCACCACTGATGATAATAAGTGCCACGCTCACACCCACATTTCCAGCATTCTGCTGATTGTCCAGTGAACATTTTAGCTAGTCTATCGGGGGGAAGATGCCATCTGTATATCATCTTGTAAATATTTTCTTTGTATGCCGTGGAAACTACTAATTTCATATTCTCCCACCAAATCTCTTGCCATTTCTCTAAATGAATTGAATAACCAAAGTTTTTTCCCCAGGCGATCATTGTATCCTTAATTATCTCATCACCTATCTCTATTCTCATCAACAATTTATAAGTTTTCGAAATCATGCCTTTTTCTTGGCCCATCAAAATTTTATCTAGTTCTTGTAACTCACCATTAATACCTTTCCTATCTCTGTCTTTTTTGTATCTAGATTGGATCTGTAGATATGTCCACCAGTCCACTTGTACCCCTTGGGAGTTCAATTCCTGTTTAGATTTTAATTTTCCTTGTACATTCAGCAAGTCCTTATATGTTAATTTTTTCGCATAGTTATAGAGTTTAGGGTATGTCACTGCTTCTAGAAATTCTCCACAAAATTTCCATGGCTAATGATGGATTGAACTTGCCCAACCCTGGTCTAAATTCAACCCCTCACCACATCTACTCCCCTTTACTGTACAGTACTTCCCTTAAGACAGAGGTGGTATTCAGCAGGTTCTGACCAGTTCTGGAGAATCTATTAACCGATAAATACCAGCTGTGACTGGCCCCACCCCATCTATTCTCTGCCTCCTGAGTCCCAGCTGATCGGGAGGAAATGGGGATTTTGCAGTAACCTTCCCCTGTCACGCCCACCAAGCCACACCCACCATGCCATGCCACACCCACCAAGCCACAGCCACAGAACTGGTAGTAAAAAAAAATTGAATCCCACCACTGCCTTAAGATATCAAATTTAGTATTTTATTTTTATCGCTGATATCCTTTACATATGCTGTGCTTCGTTTGTTCTTATCCTGATTTTTATTTTCAGTGTTTTGTTAGTCAATGTAGGTTTAAAGAACATTTAAAAGGAAAGAAAAAAAATTGCGCACAAACCCGCTCAATAGTTAATTGAATTTAAATATGTGAATATGCAATACCAACTCATAACAGACTATTTTTTGGCAGATATTTCGAGCAACATAAGCGAGATTGTGACAGAATTAACAAAGGGGCAAGGAGGAACATCTTCTCACATATTTTATTTTACATTGCAAATTGTTCTGATCCAGGACTAAAAGTAAAAATATTATTCAGTCCCTATCCCACTGATCAGCATATTGAGATCCTTTCCTCTTGTAGTGAAGCATAGAGTAAAATAAAATAAGAGCTTTACATGAAGTGTATCACCTTTTAGTGGCCAAAGGCTACACAATATTTGGGGAAGGGGTTAGGCTGAAGGCCGAAAAGTGTGTTGTGGGTGGTAAGCACATTACACACATGTGGATGAGGCTGCCATTTGTAGGCAATTCTGGAAAGTCTTCTCTGCTTTTCAAAATGATGATGTGCCATTTTAATCACTAGCCTTTCTGTTCAAATATATAAGAGGCCACCACAAAGAAGAGGGGGGGGGGCTCACCCTATTCTAGAAAGCACCTAAAGGCAGGACAAGAAGCAATGGATGGAAACTAATCAAGGAAAGAAGCAACCTAGAACTAAGGAGGAATTTCCTAACAATGAGAACAATTAATCAGTGGAATTACTTATTTCCAGAAGTTGTGAGTGCTCCAACACTGGAGGTTTTTAAGAAGAGATTGGACAACCATTTGTCTGAAATTGTATAGGTTTTCCTATTTGAGCAGGAGTTTCAGAGGTGGTATTCAGCAGGTTATGACCAGTTCTGGAGAACCGGTAGCGGAAATTTTGAGTATTTCGGAGAACTGGTAAATACCACCTCTGACTGGCCCCACCCCCATCTATTCTCTGCCTCCCGAATCCCAGCTGATCGGGAGGAAATGGGAATTTTGCAGTAACCTTCCCCTAGAGTGGGGTGGGAATGGAGATTTTACAGTATCCTTCCCCTGCCACACCCACCAAGCCATGCCACGCCCACCAAGCTGGTAGCAAAAAAATTTGAATCCTACCACTGAGAAGGTTGGATTAGAAGACCTCCAAAGCCCCTTCCAATTCTGTTATTCTGTTATACTCTGTTCTGTTCTAACTCCTCTCAGAATGAAGAGGAACAGCAAACAGTCAGAGGAAGTTCTGCAAAATATAAACTTGGGTAGCCAAATCTTATTTCTTGGGGCTTTAGGGCAGTGTTTCTCAACCTTGGCAACTTTCAGATATGTGGACTTCAGGTTGAGAAACAGTGCTTTACTTACTTACTTACTTACTTTATTTGATTTATATACCGCCCTACTCCCGAAGGACTCAGGGCGGTGAACAGCCAAACAGTAAAAATACATAGATACAAAATTTAAAAACAAGTAAAATCGAATTAAACAATTTGGCCCAGACAGATTAAAACACCCCAATCATTTAAAAACCGATTAAAATTTGCATAATTAAAAAGAGGGAAAAGATTTGGCCAGGCCCGCCTGGTGGAATAAAAAGGTCTTAAGAGCGCGGTGGAAGGTGCGCAGATCCGGGATCCTCCGTATCTCCAGGGGGGGGGGGAGCTCGTTCCAGATAGTAGGTGCCCCCACAGAGAAGGCTCTCCCCCTAGGGGCCTCCAGTCGACATTGTTTGGCCGACGGCACCCGGAGGAGCCCCTCCCTATGAGAGCGTACCGGCCGGGATATGAACTGCTAAAAATTCACTTTGGGCAGCATAATATAATAAAAGAAAACCTGCCTGATAGAACTGACCAAAATCCCAGTCAGTTCATGTCAGCCTTATCAGATAAGCCAGTTAGGAAATATGACCAGATTAGCTAATTCTACTTTATTGAAAGGTTACATTCACAGAAATTTGCAAGTTTGAAAGTACAGGTAGTCCTTGACTTACAACCATTCATTTAGTGACCATTCAAAGTTATAATGGCACTGAAAAAAGTGACTTATGACCCTTTTTCACACAACCATTGCAACATCCCCACAGTCACATAATCAAACTTTGGATGTTCAAGCAACTGGTTCATATTTATGACAGTTGCAGTGTCCGGGGGTCATATGGCCACTTTTTACAGCCTTCTGACAAGCAAAGTCAATAGGGAAGCAAGATTCACTTAACAAGCGTGTACTAACTTTGCAACTGCAGTAATTCTCTTAACAACTGGAACAAGAAAGCTTGTAAAATGTACTAAAACTCATTTAACAAATGTCTCACTTAGCAACAGAAATTCTGTGCTCAATTGTAATCATAGGTTATGGTCTTACCTGGACAATTCCCCATCCCCTTTATTCCTGAGAATTAGGGTGGGTTTCTTCTTGCCCCACCTACCGTCCAGCTGCAAACTATACTGTCTCTGATCTGACACATCTCTAGGCAGCATCTGGGCCATCTCCCAAGATAACAATAGAAATAGAAATATTTCTATTGCTATTTCAAATATTTCAATTGCTATTTCAAGATGACAATAGAAATAGAAAGAAGAGGAAGTCAAGCTATTCTCCAAAGCACCTGAGGGCAGGACAAGAAGCAATGGGTGGAAACTAATCAAGGAGAGAAGAAACTAAGGAGAAATTTCCTGACAGAACAATCAGTGGAACAACTTGCTTCCAGAAGTTGTGACTGCTCCAACACTGGAAGTTTTTAAGAGTAACATTGGATAACCATTTGTCTGAAGTGGTGTAGGGTTTCCTGCCTAAGCAGGGGGTTGGACTAGAAGACCTCCAAGGTCCCTTCCAACTCTGTTATTCTGTTAAATAGCACTTAGATTTATATACCACTTCACAGTGCCTTACAGCCCTCTCTAAGCAGTTTACAGAGTCAGCATATTGCCCCCAACAATCTGGGTCCTCATTTTACCAACCTTGAAAGAATGGAAGGCTGAGTCAACCTTGAGCCGGTGAGAATCGAACTGCTGGCAGTTAGCATAATTAGCCTGTAAGTGTAATACTTCATTCTAATCACTGCGCCACCACAGAGATCATTCCCATAGTCCAATACTCTGTTCACTTGCTGGTGAACTAAATATCAATACAAGGGACATACATTGGTGTATAAAGGAGCATCTGATAACATGCGTCATGGACATAAAAACATAAAGAGAGTCCTGTGGAATCAGATTGGAGGGCCTCCTCATCCAGCATTCAGAGTCACCCAGTGGTCAAGAGAAGGTCACCTTGTACAAGATGAGCTATAAAAGTCTTTCTCCACTTTTGCTCCCTAGCAACCAATATTCAAGATGTTCCTTTTTGGATTCAGGAAATATAATGCGGCCATCTAGTACCCATTCATAACAGCACATAGCACCTCCCACTCGTGTTCCCCAGCAACTGGTACTGAGAGACATGACACCTCCGTTACTGGAAGAAATATAGAGCTATTATCATTGCTAGCCATTATGGGTTGGTCTCACTCCCTGTGAAAGGAATTCAGGTTGGCTAACATTGCATCTTCTGGTAGCGAGTACTGCAATTTAACTGGGGACTGATGAAAAAGAAAAGCTCTGAATCTCCCACCATTCAGCTTCTTTCATTAGCTCTGAATCTCCCACCATTCAGCTTCTTTAGATGATCTTGAATTCTGTGTGATGTGGATGGAAAAATTAAGAAAAAAGAAGAAAAAAGCTTGTTTCAAAGACAGGATGTTCTGCAGGGGATTTTCCAAGTGCATTAAACCCCGTGTTGATTTATCCATAGACTGCACTGAAGCCCAACACTTTCATCTATTTATTTCAGTTTTGAGCTAACCCAACTCAACATAAATGCGTTACCATGTGCAGACAGCATGAAAACACAGGAAAATAATCACTGAGTGAGTTAGGTGTGCAAAGCAGAGACAGAAGCTGAGAGGTAAGAGAATAAAACTACTAACTAAAACAGCTGTTTGATCATCTCACCTACTTTTGAAGGTGGTAGCATGGATAACATCCAGGAGAAGATCCAGGAGAAAGTACTGTATTAACATTTTTTGGAGCGGAATTGACTTTTCGGACCCCTCACATGGGTCTGAAATAAATAAATCATGCATGAAATAAATAAATCATGCAAAATGGGGAAAAGAGTTTTTTTTTTTTGCAAGGTAACAAATTGGTCACCTTTTTTTCGCAAGGTGACCTTCTCTTAGGATCACCCAACTTGCAGACTCAGGATGGGCAGAAATCTCTCCACAGCACACCAGCCTTCCCCAGTCTTATACCCAGACAGACATGTGAAATCTTTAGCGTATGTAACATCCTGTTACAAGATGTGGAGAATGCTGTTATATTTCCCCTAGAGGTATCATGTATTATTATTATTATTATTATTATTATTATTATTATTATTATTATTATTGTTTTGCCCAGAACGACACTCTTAAAAGGAGTAAAATATATGTCAGGAATGTAGCAATGTCTCTTACCCAGAAAAAACAACAACACCCATATGCCCTGGCAGCTTATCTCTAACTATCAGCAGTTTGCGGTTAAGGATATAGCTGAAACAGGATTTCAAGTCCTCATCAGGACTTTGCAAGGCATCTGAGTGATTGCTCAGAACAAATCTTGATTCAGATGATGCCTTCTTGTATCTGTGAAGCTGGAGAGTGCATTTTAGAACTGCCTCTAGTTTTGCCTTCTGCCGTTTGCTGCCTTAGCTTTCCCTCACCCTCATGATTCACTCCACCACAGATGGTCTCCATATTTGTCATTTCACAGCCTCCAAGCAAAAAAGAATTATGCTGCATCCGGAACAACAAGTCCTGACTGCCCGCCCTTTTTTTTCTTCCCTTCCCCTTTTTTCCTTTCACTTTCTTTTTATAGTCATCTCCACTCTTGATGTTAAGCATCAAATGAAACTCACCAAATGGTTCTGATGGAAAGCACATTTAAATTCTTTCTGAGCTCCTCAGTTACTACCCAAGAATGATTCATTACCGCACAGAGCCAACATTTCCTGCCAGGCTGCAAGCCATTTCTCCGGAAGTAAACAGAAAAAAAGTAGCATGCAACTGCAGTACAGCCACTGGATGAGAATGGCAAGCTGGACATTCCTGTCGTGGCCAGATGGGTTAAGGTATGACTTCCAGATTTGGAGTCCTCTGACTGAAGACTAAAAGTATTTCAGCTGTTGCTTCATAAAACTGCATTCCCTAGTTCCAATTCATCATATTTCTTATGGGGTGTCTTGGAAAAGTTCAAAATAGCCATCCCAAACTGCATAGATAAATGTCTACGGAGATTCTCAGTCATCCAGGTCATGATTGTCCCAAAGGTGCTTTTTCAAAAGGCAACTGGACTGTCTTTGTTTTTCCTTGAAGACATTTCGCTTCTCATCCAAGAAGCTTCTTCAGTTCAGAAGAAGTGAAGAAGTGAAAAAGCTTCTTGGATGAGAAATGAAATGTCTTCAAGGAAAAACCAAGTCCAGTTGCCTTTTGAAAAAGCACTGTTGGTTCAAAATAGACAGTTTTAATCTGTCTTCCTCATTCCATGCCTTGTAGTTGTGTTTGACTGCAAATTCTCTCATCCGTATCTAGTATGTGAACAGCCATGTCAGCTAAAAATAAAGGATGCTGTGGTTCATTTTCTTTGCGGTTGATAAATTGAAGAAAGCTCACTCAAATTATAATGCTAAGCAAACATAAACATGCTTTACAATTTAAAATAATTATTAAAATTCTTTTTATATAAAAATTCTTGTCCCAACCTTCTTATGTTGATGAGGTATTACTGCAGGCAACTACCCTGTTTTCCCCAAAATAAGACATCCCCTGATAATAAGCCCAATTGGGCTTTTGAGCGCATGGCAATAAGGTCAAGTGCTTATTTCAGGGTTCAAAAAAATATAAGACAGGGTCTTATTTTCGGGGAAACACGGTAACAATAGCGTAACATGACACTATTATAAAATTAAGTTTAAAATACATTAAAGCAAACTGCCAAGTCTGATTTTTTATAATAATGGAATAGCCCCTGAGAAGGCCCTGCCTTTCCTCATCTCCATCCATCCATCCATCCATCCATCCATCCATGCAAAATTTACAGAAAAGAATCTCCTAATTTTATCTTGGACTGAAACTGTTTAGGATTTAAATTGCCAGCATTAATAACAAGTGCAGCAATTGCACACTTGGAATGAAACTTTCAGACTTCTCACATGTTGTATAAAGCAGGAATAAGCACTAATTTCAGACAAGCCTTTATCTAAAAGCAAAACAATGTTATTTATCCCTTGAGAAGTATTTGACTTATATGGAAATATGAGTTCTTTATTCATTAATAAAGTAGAACACATAATTAGCTGCATAATCTTTCCTTAAAAGCATTAAGAGGGAATATTATTTTGGGACAAGAGATTTATAATGTTTTATTAGCTATTGGATTGCAAAAGGAATTCCCTTAATCCATCATCTACCACCATATGCTGAGATGGTCTTGCTTTATAGTTCACCACTTTTAGAACGAGGAGTTGAGATGGTTAACTCTTTTAAAAAGTGTTGCAGTTTAGGGATAGCAATAGCATGTAGGCTTATATGCTACTTCACAGTGCTTTACAGCCCTTTCTAAGCGGTTTACAGAGTCAGCATATTGCCTCCTGGGTCCTCATTTTACCAACCTCGGAAGGATGGAAGGCTGAGTCAACCTTGAGCCGCTGAGACTCGAACCGCTAGCAGTTGGCAGCCGGCAGTCAGTAGAAGTAGGCTGCAGTACTGCATTCTAACCACAGCGCCACCACAGTGCAGTGTTGGTGAGCTCAAGGGGTCTGATTTATTGCATCAATATAAACTAACAAAGAAGGTGTGTGTGCTACTTGCATGCCTGTGCATAAACACAGACACACAGAGAGAATTTTCTGCTGACTCAGCAGGTATGTGAATTGATCAATCCTGACAGGGCGGCAGCCTGCAACAGAATCTTTTAGGAGATAACTATAAGAAAATAAAACTCAGAACATCTCAGGGAGCCAAGGGCACACAAAGCCTATTTCCTATGCCCTTCCAGCTTTCCTGCAACCACAGGGACTTTGCTTCCCCCTCTATAAACTTCCTCAACTCTTCTTCTCTGCAGGAGTCTTATTTATTTTATTTGTATCTTCCCTTTGTATTATTTTTACAAACAATTCAAGCTCTTGGGGGCTTGGAATCCATCTCCCCTCCCACACACACACATAATTTTGACTGTGAGTATTTTCAGCCTCCAAGGAACACAGATTCGATGGAGGGATATTAACAGTGTATGTAATCCTTTTTCCTTTGAGGATGGTTGGCTCATTTTTCTTTGAAGAATTTTTTTTTTAATTTTTTTTTTAATTTGATTTATATGCCGCCCTTCTCCGGAGACTCAGGGCGGCTTACAATGTGCTCAGCAATAGCCTTCATACTTTTGTATATTTTTACAAAGTCAGCTTATTGCCCCCACAACTGGGTTCTCAATTTACCTACCTTAGAAAGGATGGAAGGCTGAGTCAACCTTGAGCCTTGGCGAGATTCGAACCTGCAGCAATTGCAGGCAGTTGGTCTTAATAACCAGCTTAATAACAGGGTGCCTTAGACCACTGTACTACCAAGGCTCTTTATTGATAATTGATTTTTTAAAAAACAGAAAATGGTTGTCTTCCAAAAGGAAGGAAGGAAGGAAGGAAGGAAGGAAGGAAGGAAGGAAGAAAGAAAGAAAGAAAGAAAGAAAGAAAGAAAGAAAGAAAGAAAGAAAGAAAGAAAGAAAAAGAAAATTAGTTACAGTTCCAAGTGTTTCCATTTTGCAATCATGTTTCCCTGGCAAATTTTGGGAGAGCAGGGACTATAAAAATGTGACTCAGACCACCTTCTGAGTTGCTTATCCTGTTAGGAGGGGGGGGGAACCGAATAGGCCCTCTTCAATAACTACATTTCTTGTTCAAAAATAGGCCAAGAAGAAGGAAGTCACACTGCATTATCATCATCACTGTTATTTTAAATCCACAAATCTTGGACTGGAACATATAGTTGTTGAAAACATTATGAACGCTAAATACAAGGAAACACCTTCAACAATAATATACATTAATATCTGTAACATGATGGGATGGACAAAGCATCCTGATCACCACTTTTTTTAATTTACTGAGCAAAAACAAAATAGATCCATATTTGGAGCTACGGAAGTACCTGCAGAATCAACCAAGTCCATGAACAGCTTCTCTCTGTGCCTCAGGATCATGGACCTTTCTTTCTAAAAGATATTCAGAAACTGAATGTTCCCAAATGATTCCATTAAAAAGGGATAGCACAACCATTTGTCTGAAATGGTATAGGGTTTCCTGGTTGAGCAGAGGGATGGACTAAAAGACCTCCAAGCTCTCTTCCAACTCTGTTATTCTATTCTGTATGTATTCTGGCTAAAACTCTGAAAAAGATGCCAATTTAATCATACAGGAAATGCTTTTGAGGGAATCTGGATGGCTGCCTCATCACCAACATTTCTACTCTCCCTGTTCTTCTGGCATCATGACTAAACACCAAAACTATGCCAGACTGGAGTTAAGTTGCCCAGGCAATAAACTCATTTTAAATATTCTATATGAACATGTGCACAGGAGGGGAGTGTTGTCTGAATATTCATGCCAAGAACTGCTTCACACATGACACTGTGCCAAAAAATAAGTTTTCTTTCCAAGTATATGTGAAGTAGTAAGAAGCCAATCCTGTCTTCTTAAAATATGTAATTCCATCACATAATTTATTGCATCCGTACAATGCTATGTCTTGTCAATACTCTATGTCAAATTAGGGCAATATTTTGCTTTGCCCAATTCAGTTATCAAAAACTGGAAAGCAATCGGTGTTTCTGATTTGCTTAATGTTCCCTAGAAACATTAAGCAAAGTCACATTGAGTTTGACAGTCTTATATTGTAGATCTAATAATACATATATAAGTAAATAAGTAAGCAAATATTTTTGTGGCCAGGATGAGACTAGGAAGCTTGCCTGATTTTGAAATCATGGATTCATGGATGGAGTTTACACCTAGTCATAAACTTAGGACAGATGTGGAAGAAGCTAGAATCTGTATTGGTATTATGCAGATTCCCCTACAACTGTACAAAGTCCAAGCATTTTTTTTCCTCTTCACCATTTAGAAGAGCAAATAGTGCATTGTTTAAAGGTGTGGTGCAAATATTGGATACAGTCTTGAAAAGATCCAAAAGACAAATAGACAATAGAAACAGCAAAACCACTTAAGATGACCCTCCAAAGAGGTTAGCTGAAGTAAAACAGCTTTCAGCAGAATTAAGTGACAATCTATCATCCAAGGTTTGAACAATGGGAGACATCTTTATGTATCTGCCTTTGCTTCTCATCAATGGAAGAATAACACAGGGTCTCCACACTCCATGTGCATCACTTTGGATTCTGGCAGTAAACATGAAAGCTTAGTGGAAAACATGAGGCACGGACAGGGGATAGTGTTTCTGTTGGTTCTACCTAAAGCACTATGGAGTTATTCATATACTAGTCCAGAAGTTTCTATTTATTATTTTGAAAACAAAAAGAAAAAATACAGATATTCTTTCCCCTGTAGTAGCTGAGAATTATTTAATTACCATCCCCCCAAACTTCAATTCCAAGCTATTTCAAATTGAAGCTTGTCTGAATTCTGCTCTCAAACTGGCTGCATTCACACAACATGCTTAATCTGGTTACTTGAATTAAACTATATAGTACAACTATAATTAACTAAATGGACTCAGTTCATGCAATATGTGAAGCTACAAAAAAAAAAAAAAAGCCAAATTTGCATGTGCTAAGCTAACCAAGCACAGTCTGCTCTTTGACGGACTCTGCTAAGTCTTTACTCAATCTGGTTAAGGGTGTAGCATGAACTGGTGTCCTTGGTTGTCCTTAACTGCTTACTTAAACCTCTTGCAACATGACTCTCTTCTCACGGTCTTTACTGTCTCTATTATTCTTCTGCATGTGCTATTTTAACCTTAAAATAGAGGAAGAAGTTGCTCAAACCCAGAAAGGATTCCATACTTACATTGCATTGATAAGAAAGAACGCATGATTCATAGAATCACAGAATCATAGAGACATAGGGCTGGAAGGGACCTTGGAGGTCTTTTAGTAAAATCTCCTGCTCAGGGCAGGAGTTCTTCTTCCATCCCAGACAAATGGCTGTCCTGTCTTTTCTTGAAGAGCTCCAGCAATGAAGCACCCACTAGTCTGGGAGGCAAGCTGTTCCATTGATTAATTGTTCTTACTGGCAGGAAATTCTGGTTGGATTTACAAGTTTACATCCATTGCTTTTTATCCTACCTTCAAGTGCTTTGGAGAATAAATTGACTTCTTCTTTCCTATGTTAGCCCTTCAAGTATTGAAAGACAGTTATCATGTCTTCTCTACAAACCTACTTTCCTTAGCCATTCATCATATGGTTTAGCCTCCAGACCTCTTATCATTTTTGTTGCTCTTCTCTGCACTTTTTTAGGACCTCAACACCTTTTTTTTTTTTTTTTGTATCACGGTGACTAGAACTATCTGTAGTATTCCAAGTGTGGCTACTAGTGCAATATAAAGTAATACTATCACTTCTCATGATCTTGATGCTATCCCTCTGTTGATGAAGCCTATGACTGCATTGGCTTTTTTTTTGGCAGATGCAGCACATTGCTGGCTCATATTTAACTAGTGGTCTACTAGGATTCCTAGATCCCTCTTCACAAGTGCCACTGTAAAGCCAAATACTGTCTATTCTGTACCTGTGCATTTGGTCTTTCCTGCCTAAGTGCAGGACTTTACTTTTCTCATTAATGATCTGCATCTTATTGGAGAGTAGAGTAGAGTAGAGTAGAGTAGAGTAGAGTAGAGTAGAGTAGAGTAGAGTAGAGTAGAATTCTTTAATGGCCAAGTATAATTAGACACACAAGGAATTTGTTTCCAGTGTGTAAGCTCTCAATGTACATACAACAATAGTGATAAGCAACAAAGTTATAGTCATAAAAAAAATAAGGAGATAGGTAATAGGGAAGATAAGAATAATGATACCGTGTTGCCCTGAAAATTAGCCCTCCCCCCCAAAATAAGCCCTCCCTGAAAATATTTAAAAGCATTCGCAGCCGGTCCCCGCCATTTCCTCTGGTTAGGGTTAGGGGGACAGAGCTGGAAATCAGGTAAGATAGCAAGAGGATCCCTGTCTCCATGCACCCCAAAATAATAAGACCTCCCCGAAAATAAGGCCAAGCGCTTATTTCGGGGTTCAAAAAAATATAAGACAGGGTCTTATTTTCGGGGAAACACGATAGTAATGAACAAGTCTCTATTGGACACATTTGGTCCAGTGTGAATATCCAGGCTGCTGGTCAGGGGTGAGTTCTACTTATCTTTACTACTGGTTCGCAATAAGGCTGCACACACGTGCTCTTCGGTGCAAGCGCAGAAGCTTCTGCGCAGAAGCAGAAGCATTTTGATGATGTCAGGGTCAGTGGGCAGAGCCTCCCACCGGTTTTACTACCGGTTCTATAGAACTGGTGCGAACGGGGGCATCCCACCACTGCTGCTGGTGCTTACCCATGCACACTCAAATAACTAGCCTTCAGTCTGCTGCTGGAGCTACCCAGCCAGCATTAGGCCCATCATCATTTTTTTTACAAGCTCTGTTCTCAGCAGATGCCCAGATTGCAGCAAGTAGAATCATTTCTGCCAATTAAGGTCCCTGGTTAGGAAAAACTTCATCTCTTGGGTTAGATTGTATGACTGGTTTGCACATTATGCTATGCCAAGTTTGATGGTTTAGCTAAGCATCTTGCATGAACCCAGACACTCTGGTGAATAAATTATGGCTTACAACATGTTAGGATGGATAAGCCCAGCCAAACCCATTGCGGTTAAGCACATTATGGCTTGGTGATTATATTTAGATGGAATCAAAAGAAAGGGGAAGTGCTAAAAGGGAAAAGGGGCAGTTATCGCGAGTCTTCTAATTATGGTTCTGGTTTATATTGAGGATTTGTTTTATGACTATTATATTACTAATACAATACTTGTTATTGTATTTGTATCTTACTACTTGGACCCACTTAGGGTCACAATGATCGATATGATGACCCAAAAGCATCTGTAACATAAAAATAAATGTTGTTGCTTGAAAACATTTCAACCAACTCTGGTCCAGAAGATGTACTAGCTAGCCAGATTCCTTGCACTATGAGCAAGGCCAGTGCCCTCCTTTCCAGTTTGCCTGTGAGCCTGGGTTCACTGTGAACCTTGCACTGATTGCTGATAGTGAAAAGGAAGAGCTAATGCTGATTTAAAAGAAAAACAAGCTTCCCAGCACAGTTACTGCTCAGTCATCCACGCCTGCAGTTATACTTGTAGATAGGTAAAACGCTCAGTATGGAAAGGATGAGGAAGTAGGAGTTTCTTCCACAGAAAAAGAAAAGAAGGAACACAGTGTTCATGAACAGCAGCTGTTCTGCAAGAACACTGTAGAAAGTGGAAGCGTGCCCAAGAATCAAAGAACAGAAAATGCATTATCTTCGTTTCGGTGATGCCACCCAAAGCCTATCTCAGAAGCTACCTTATACAGTGACAAATGATTAGTTCATCTCATCCAATATTGTATAAGCTGTTGGTTATATGTTGGCCTATTTCATCCCCAATTAGCCCAGATCTCTTTTGAGATAAACAAGCTCAGGAATTTCTGCATGCAAAAAATCCCTGCCTTTTAATTTTATTTTTTTATTGTTTCATTCTTGTTTTAACTGTATTTAATATGATTATTTATATATAGCTTTTACGAGGGAGAAGGCCAGTTTCTAAATGCGATATATAAATAAATATCAAGAAATAAAGCAATTTTTCATCACAGAAGCTGCATTTTTTCCAAAATTGTGCACCTGCCCTCCACATTGCAGCATGACCCCTGGAAGAGAAATTTTTAGTTTAGGGAGTTGCAGAGAGATGCTATCCCTGCACACTCTTAAGCAGCTTTTTCCTTCTGAATGTGAAATATTACACATTCCTAGTGTTATGTGACTGTGTCAGGTAGCTGCAGTTCCTCCTCTTAAGCAGAGTGTACTGTTCTCATTCCTGAGGCTGGTAAAGTATACCAAACCCTGCTCGCATCTAAGTAAACAAATAAGGGAAGTGTGCTTGTGAGACCTTTTCTAGAATAGAACAACAATGTCACACGTCAGAGCAGCAAATAATTGTTCTAGCAAGTGAAAGGGATGATAACAAGGCTTTCACACTTGATGAATAGGTTTTCTTTTAATGTGGTAAATAAACATTCTTATACTCCATTTGCAGGATGCAAATAAAGAGTAAAGAAGATGAATAAAGAAGATGCCATAGGCACAAAAGGCTAGAGGGACCATCTGAAGAATTTCCAGAACTGTATCTTCTTCCATGAAAAATCAGCTTTGGTCCTTCCATGGTGATTGATTATGTGCCATCAAATGGTTTTCCATTCCTAGCAACCCCATGGATTTTCTCCATGATGATCTATGTGTCCCTAACAGAGTCTTTCAGATCTTCCAACACTGCATCCATTGTTGCCATAACTGAGTCCATCCACCTTGCTACGGGTCATGTTCTTCTCTTTGTTTTCACCTTTTTCAACATTAGACCCTTCCCCAGAAAGTTGGGTTTTTGCATAAAGTGTTGGAAGCAGGATAATTTGAGTCTTGTCATTTGGGCCCCGAGTGAGAGCTCTGTGTTGATTTGCTTAATGATCCAACAAACTATCCTATCCTGCTTCTTCAAGGTAAACTTTTACTTCCATAGCATGTCACAGGAATACTTTGGCTTGCACAATTCTGGTCTTTATAGGTATTAACACATCACAGCAATTAAATTTTGCCAAGGCCTTCATGGTTGCTCTACCAAGGGCTAGTCTATGGCATATTTCATGACTGCTTGTTTCTTTATTATTGTTGGTTGATCCTAAAAGGTAGAAGCCAGTGGTGGGTTGCTCCCGGTTCTGTCCGGTTCTTGCGATCCGGTAGTAAAAGTGGTGGCAGGCTCCCCCACCCACCCACCCACCCACCCGAACGTCATAATGGATGATCTGTGCATGCGCAGAAGCCCGTGTACGTGCGCGCTCCCGTTGCAAACTGGTAGTAAAGGTAACTAGAACTCACCCCTGGTAGAAGCTATCCAACACTTTGATATCTTTATCAGTTATCACTTCTAAGACTGATTGTTCTACATATTGTCATTACTGTATTAAGGTTTAGTAATTTTCTCTATCTTTAATATTAGTCCCATTTTTCAGTTCGCTCCTTACCTCAGTTAAGTCATTGCAGGCAACACTGGAATACATGGAGCTATATGGATTACACTGACCAGTATAAAGTCTGTATTTGATGTGGCTCTGCTACCTACAATGACCATAAACATGAATGTTTGCATAAAGGCTGACATCTTTTCATACAGCTTTTTCTCATAGGGCTTTAGCAAGTGATTTATCTTGGACTCAAAAACTTCAGTAAGCCATAATGTGGTTTGTTTGGTCTGGGTTTAGTTTAGTTAGGGTTATGAACACATAATGGTTTAGGGAACTATGGCTTAGGGCAGGGGTCTCCAAACTTGGCAACTTTAAGACTCTGGGACTTCAACTCCCAGAGTTCCTCAGCCAGCAAAGCCACAAGTCTTAAAGTTGCCAAGTTTGGAGACCCCTGGCTTAGAGAAAAGCCAAAATGCTGATTTTCAAAAGTTTCATCTGCCAATGTTTGAAGATCCAAATGCTATTTGGTACACAGAAGCTGAGGAAAGTTTAAAAACTTGACAATCCTGAGTTATAATCCTTATCTTCCTTCATCATAATGTGTCTAAGCAAATACCCTACTTTTACACATATATAAATGAGGCCCCAAGTCTTTTTTTGTGCTATTTTATATTAATATTTTATTTCATGCATTCATGAAATAAATTAGATTTTTCCCCTAAGCAAAAGGAAGAGCTTTGGAATGGCCAATGGCCATTCTGTCCAACAGAGATCTTTACCTTAATGTAACAAGGCAAGAGTGATCCAGAGCTGATATACTCCTTGGGGCCCTCAAATAACTTCCCTAAGAAAAGAACTATGGGAATATACCAATTTGAGCTACTATGGGGACCTCTTTTGATACAATTTTGATTTTATGAACATACCAGCTGGATATTGATTTAACACATTTCTAATCCTCACAATTCTAATCCTCACCATTTTCAATATAGATAGAATATAGAGATACCTGTCTGTATATTCTTCTGGGTGGGACAGATGAGACGATTTGAACCAAAGAAACTCAGATAGTATGGAAGGGTTAAATTGACTTTAGTTTCTGTGGATCATTATCACTTTCAATCTTTTTTTAAAAAAAATTGAGAAAAGTCTGACTGTTTTTCATATTACTTTCAGCTATATCTTTAGATTACAGTATATCTGTTCCTTTCTATCAACTTACTCAGCCCTTGAAAAGTCTGTAAACATGTATTTAATTTAGCAATAAGCAGCTTAATTAAATTTGCACATATGCACTCCGTTGCATAATTGAACTTGATGATAGTCATTTGCAGAGAACAAATCTCATTTTTAGCACAGATATGAAAAAGAGGATGGAAATTTCTCTGAAAAGTTCCCTAAACATTGCAACTTAAAATATATATATATATATATCTGCAACTCTGTGTTAATTCTGTCTCTCCTGCCACACAGAGAGCAACTTAGATTCAGAACCTCTCTCAAAAATCAATAAGCAAAGAATGAAGGTCAAGCTATTTGTAATACATAAATATACGCACTGCAAAATTAAGAAAAACCATTATCAACATGAATGCTGAATATAATTCTTTTTTTTGGCTCAGATAGTTTAGTTATTGGAATTCTGAATTTAAATCCACACCTCTGGAGATTTGCACAAACAGCTCCAAGCAATGTAACAAGATCCTAATTCACAGTCAGTGTTAAATATGTCTATTTGGGCGTTCCAAGGCTTTCAAGGCAGAGGTGGATTTCAGCAGGTTCTGACCAGTTCTGGAGAACCGGTAGCGGAAATTTTGAGTAGTTCAGAGAACTGGTAAATACCAGCTCTGACTGGTCCCACCCCCATCTATTCTCTGCCTCCTGAGTCCCAGCTGATTGGGAGAAAATGGGGATTTTGCAGTAACCTTCCCCTGGAGTAGGGTTGGAATGGAGATTTTACAGTATCCTTCCCCTGGAGTGGGGAGGGAATAGAGATTTTACAGTATCCTTCCCCTGCCATGCCCACCTGACTTGGTGGCTCAGTGGCTAAGCCATTGAGCTTGTCGATCAGAAAGGTCGGCAGTTCGGCGGTTCGAATCCCTAGTAGAGGTCTCCTGAGTGAGCAGGGGGTTGGACTAGATGACCTCCAAGGTCCCTTCCAACTCTGTTACTGTTACCCATATGTTAACCACCAAGCCACGTGGTAAATTTTTTTTAATCCTACCACTGTTTCAAGGGGATGCTTAAGGAGCTAGAATTTCAATTTTGGAAACTCGCATTTGGCACGAAGGAGTCGTTAATAAAATCTGACCTTTACCTGAGAGTTTTCAGTATGATGATCATATTATAACTTCCAAAATTCTGTAGGAAAGCTGGTGCAAAAATTTATACATTTTGTACCATGAACAATCACCAATTGTTAGCTGGCACACCAAAAGGACAGGCTTAAACTCACATAGGATTTTTTCTCTTCTCCCCCCCTCCCCCTCCCCCTCCCCCTCCCCCAGTTTGGCTAACTACAGGCCAGTTTTAATTCATTCTGTTGATCTAAGACTGTATTATGGCAGAATACAGTGATTGGTTAATACGGCTTTTAAAGGACAGTGAAGAAATTCTATGAAGGTATATCAGCAATTATTAATTACGATGGCAAGGCCAGACCTCCATGTTCAGAAAATGTATACCTGAATTCCAAATGCTGACAGCAAGCAAGTGGAGAAATGTCATAATTGTCCTTTTGCTGGCCACTGCTAGAAATACATTCTTATCCAGTGATCAAAGATAAACCTCTACTTTGTAAAAAAAAAAAAAAAAAAAAAAACTGGGTAGATTCCATCACAATGAAGCATAAAACTTCACATCAGAATCTTTTTTTTTTTTTTTGCTCAAGGATGTTAACCTGATTCTGGACTACACCATTGCATATTATGTTCCAGACACATTGTTGCATTTGCACTTAATTAACCTGTCAAGGATAACCTCTTCTCCTTGGTACTTGCTCATTTTCTACATGTGCAGATGGTATTTTTCTGAATCTCTGGCTTGGTTCCACATGCTAAGGCAATGGCTGTGTTTCCACAAAACGATGAGCATGTTGTGTGAACCCACCTTCTATGAACTTCATCTCTATCCATAAGTGATTCTGGCCCTAAGACTTATGTCTTATTTGCTCCCTTTCCCCCCCTGTTTTTACCGATGTGGTGAAAAGCTTATTTACAAACAGGAAGCTAAATACATTTCCATTGAAAGCTTGCATTAGGTTTCGGTGGCCCAAATAGACAACAAATGCTTTAAATGACGTATGCATATTTACATCCTTTATTCAGACTGCAGACTTTCTAGATTTTGACAGAACAAACATTGGAAAGAGAGAGATCCCACAGGTTTGATAAATATTCCCCTCCCACCCAAAAAAACCTCCCAAACACTCCACATTAAATACATTGCTTATGCAATTACAACTTCTGGGGTTTTTTCCAGAGAATAATTTAGAGACTAACTTTTCTTCTGAAGATTGTGGTGGAGAGGGTTCTCGGAGTATGAATTAGCACTGTGATTCCCAATAGACACAATAATCACTCTTGCACCCATGTAAATTCAAACCAACATTCTATTTAAAATCTGCAGATCAAACAAAGCCATCTTTTTCTGGGTTTTTTGGGGAAGCGGGAAGGGGAGAAAAAGAAATAAAACCACTTAGAAGTGAGAACTTCAGCATCCAGTTGTTGACAAGCAAAAGACAGAACTTTCCACTTTATGATCTAACTCAACTATTGAACTCAGCCATGTTTTGCTTCGTTAAGAAGTTAGCTAGTTAACGGGCTAGAATAGTTAACAGTGGGCAAGATTATTTCCAGCTTCTGCTCCGTGATTTCTAAATCTTCTCCATGACCATGATCAATCTTTAACACTGTAGCTCTACTGGAAGCCAATAGCTGGAAAGTATATTGGGAAATGTACAGAATATCTTTTTTCCCCACAATAACATGCAATCACAAATAAAGAAGAATAGAAAAAACTTCCTAAATATCACAGGGTCCGGGCAGTTTTGTATCCAACACTTGTTCTTTCAAGGGGCATCTTTTTACCATTACAAATCTATAGACTATATTACTCTTATTGTGATTAGGAAGTTTCTCTTGTTTCTTTGCAATATGCCCTGCACACACACCCCACCACCAAAAGCTTTCTAAATTTTACATATTAAAAAACAAACAAGTGCCACAGCCGGCAAACAATGAAACTCAGAAAACATTAGCCTTCAGTGGTAAAACCTGAGTTTTCACCCAGAAGAGCAGGACATACACAATTCTCTAAACACGAATACTTTTATTCATATTTATGTTGTACACGAATACTTTTATTCATGTTTTATTCAGCCCTTTCATTTTCCCCCCAATTTTTTTTAGCGCAACAATATTTGTAGAGCCCGAGAAAAGCAAGCCCCACTGTGCACCCCGATGCAAAGCAA